TATACCTCCTTGCATTGTATAGTGTTGCTTGTATAGTGGTTGCTTTAAGGATTACAGTATACATCCTTGACTTTTAACAATCTATTTAGACGTAATTTTGTACCACTTCATGTAAAATATAAGAAGCCTGAAAGTATACAGTTCCATTTACTTCCTCCTCCAGTCCTTTCTGCGATAATTGTCATATACATTATCTCTACAGATGCTATAAACCATAACATATGCAGTATGTGTTTAATAGACAGGATTTTCTATTTAATTATATGTTTACCATTTCTATTACACTTCATTGCTTCCTAAATATCAGATCAGAGTTTCTGTTTATCACTTCCCTTTTCTCCAAAGAACTTACTTTAGCATTTTTTAAACTGCAGTTCTGCTGGAAAGAAATAATTATCTTTGTTTATCTGGAAATGTTTTTATTTTGCCTTTTAAAAAAAATTCCCTTTTTTGCATTTTTTATTATGGTAAAATATAAACAAGTCTATCATTTTAACCATTTTAAGTGTACATTTCAGTGATATTTTGCCTTTACTCTTTTTTTGAAAGTTTTTAAAAATTTGCTTGAGATTTTATATATATAAAATATATATATAAGCACTATAATATATATAGTATTTATTCTTTTTTTTTTTTGGTGAGGAAGACCAGCCCTGAGCTAACATCCATTGCCAATCCTCTTCCTTTTGCTGAGGAAGACTGGCCCTGAGCTAACATCCGTGCCCATCATCCTCCACTTTACACTCGGGACGCCTGCCACAGCATGGCCTGACAAGCAGTGCACAGGTCTGCACCTGGGATTCGAACCCGTGAACCCCAGGCCGCCAAAGCAGAGTGCGTGAACTCAGCCACTATGCCACTGGGCCAGCCCCTATGTTGTGTTTATTCTTGAAAGGTATTTTCTCTAGAATTATGACTTGATGGTTTTTTTTTTCCTTGTAAAGCTTTAAAGATGTCTTTCCACCGCCTTCTGGCCTCCATTGTTTCTGATGAAAAACAATATTTCCTTGTATGTAATATATCATTTTCCTCTGGCTGCTTTCAAGATCTTATCTTTATCCTTGGTTTTCAGCAGACTGACAACAATGTACCTGGGTGTGGTTTTCTTCATACTTATCCTACTTGAAGTTTGCTGATCTTCTTGAGTCTCTACATGTCTTTCACCAAACTTAGAAACATTTCAATCAACATATCTTCAAATATTTTTTTCTGCTCCAATATGTCTCTCTTCACTCCAATTACATGGAAATTAGAGCTTTTGATATTGTCCCACAGGTGTCACTGAGGTGTTTTCACTTTTTCAATCCTTTCCTGTTTTTCAGATTGGCTAATTTCCATTGATCTATGTTCAAGTTCACCGACTCTTAGTCATCTCACGTTTACTGTTGAGGTGAACTTTTTCTAAAATATTTTTCAGTTCTAGAATTTCCATTTGGTTCTTTTCTCTAGTTTCTTTTCTCTGTTGAAATTTCATATCTATTTATTCATTATGATAATACTTTCCTTTATTTATTGAGCATGGTTATAATAGCTTCTTTAAAATTCTTGCCTGCTAATTCCAGTATCTGGGACATCTTGGAATCAGCCTTCACTGATTGATTTTTTTCTTGAGTATAATTCATATTTTCTTGTTTCTTCATATGTATACTTATTCAGGGTTATATCCTGATATTGTGAATGATACATTGTCAAACCTCTGGATTCTGTTATGTTCCTCCAGAGAGCAGGCAGATAATATGTAGAATTCAGGGCTCCGCGTCTGTGGACCTATCCTCCCAGACTTCCCTCTCTCACTTTCCAGCTGCTATGGTCACACTAAACTCTGTCCTCTATTTTGTGTGTGTGTGTGTGTGAGGAAGATTAGCCCTGAGCTAACATCCATTGCCAATCCTCCTCTTTTTGCTGAGGAAGACTGGCCCTGGGCTAACATCTGTGCCCATCTTCCTCTACTTTATATGGGATGCTGCCACAGCATGGCTTGATGAGTGGTGTCTAGGTCTGTGCCCGGGATCCGAACCCGCGAACCTTGGGCTGTTGAAATGGAGCGCGTGAACTTAAGCACCACACCACCAGGCTGGCCCCTGTCCTCTACTTTTTTTTTTTTTTTGGTGAGGAAGATCAGCCCTGAGCTAACATCTGTTGCCAATCTTCCTCTTTTTGCTGAGGAAGATTGGCCCTGGGCTAACATTTGTGCCCATCTTCCTCTACTTTATATGTGGGATGCCTGCCACAGCATGGCTTGATAAGCGGTGCATAGGTCCGTGCCCAGGATCCAAACCTGTGAACCCTTGGCTGCTGAAGCAGAGTGCACTAACTCAACCACTGTGCCAGCCTCTGTCCTCTATTTTTTAATCAGTAAGACTGCAGGTTTCCATCAGAGTTTTAGTGGACCCCTGAGGCATTGACTGGGGCCTGCCCTCAGGTGAAAAGCTAAAAAATGAGAAACTCGCCCATGCAATTCCTTGCTTCCTAGTGCCAACTCCTCTATACTTTCTGCCTGCTTTAGGTCATTTTCCAGGGCCTTCAGATAATTGTTTTATTATAGTCTATACAGAGTTTCTAAGTGTAATCTGTGGAATGGTTGTTCTGATATGAGCTACTCCACCATTATTGGAAGCAGACTCTCCTCCAATCTAATCTGTTCTTACTCCTCCTCCCCACAACAATTTGTGCTCTAGCCATATGAAATTATTTGAGGTTTCCCAAACAGGCCATGTCCTCTCTTGTCTCTGGGCCTTTGTACACACTTCTTTCTCTGCCTTCCCCCACCCCAACCCAGTTATCTCTACTCATTCTTCAGGATTCAGTATAGATATCAACTCTTTTGGAGAAGGTCATTAGTCAGGACTGAATCAAGTAACAGAAATGTCCTTGTACTAACAAGCCAAAAGGGAGAAGAGGATTTAATGTAAGAGTACAGAGGTATCCTTGGGGAACCCCAAGACAGAGTGCCTTTGCCAGGCCTCAGAAACCGACCAAAACCAGGCACTCCATTTCACTGGGCCTTTATCTCCAACTCTTGTGTCTGTTCTCTGCCCCTCCGAGGGGCTCCTAAGAATCCCAATTTCCCTCATCAAGCAGCTTCGGTACTACCTGTTTACTTCTCCTTATTCCCCTCTAGATTATAAGTTCCTTGAGGGCAAAACTGTGCCTTTATTGATTTTCTTATCCTCAGGACTTAGCAGAGTACAGCCGACAGAGCTCACAGGTGGTAAAAAGAGGCAGACAAGTAAACTGACTTTTAATATACAACCCAGCAGGTGTTGAAACAGACATTTTCAAGGTGCTCCAGGAGCCAGAGGAGGAAGCACCCACATGTCCATCTGGGCTGTCAGGACGCCTCAGGAAAGATACTCCAATGATGTTGCTTGTCGTCTGATTGGGGGACCCAAAGAACAATCCCATAAAAAGTAGAGACTGTCTTAAAGACCCTCCCAACTCTCTGGGTCTCCACTGAAATGAAGAGAGAACACTCAATGTCTTTCTGAACATCACTTGAAGGGACAAAGAATTATAGAGCAGAGACCTCGGTGATCTATTTCTCTAACATTTTAGCCATTCAAGATTTCTTTCAGTTCCTCTTTCCCATCTTGGAGTCTTTGAAAATTTTCTTCCCTCAGCCTAGACTGTTTTCCTCGCCCTCTTCCCTTTGACTAACCTCTAAACAGCTTTCAGTTTTCAACTTTAACGTCACTTTCTGGAGAGGAAGGAGACTCCCCTCTCCCCCTCAGTTAGGGTAAACCCTATCGCCACAGGCTTCCACAGCAGCCTGTACATCCCCCTTCTGAACACTTACCTCATTGTCCTGCCCCGTGTAAGGGCTGCCTTCCAGCAGTCTGTAATCTGTGACAGCAGGGACCGTGTCATCTGGTTCCTGCCTATTCCCAGGGCTTGGCACAGAGCCTGGCACCTGGAAGGTGCTCAAATATACTTGTTGCTTCCATTGAATTTCAATAGTTTGTATAACTTCCTCATTTGAAAGAAAAAACCCAAGGCACAGAGGTGGGGAAGTGAGTTTTCCAACAGTCTCAAGTTAGTGGCAAGGCTAGACCTGGCACGCAGGCTGTGCCCTGGGGTCGAGCAGAGTTGTCTCCTTGGCTTGCTTCTTTCCTTCCAGAGTGCAGTGAGAATCAATGCAGACATTGGTTTTTTGCATTGTTGAGGCTTTTATTTCTTCTAAAATGTGCACAAAGATAGAACTCTCCCAGGAACATTTTTGACTCATGTAGAAAAAATACTGCTTTTGCGGAGTGAAAAGTAGATATTTTTAAAAGTTTTTCTCCCAATTTTTCAATTTGAACACTTTCAAATCTATAGAAAGTTTGCATGAATAGGACAATAAAGACTCATTTACACTTTATGTAGATTCGTCAGTTGCTAACATTTTACACAGTGGCCCACTTTTTTTTTCTCTCTCTCCCCCTGTATATATACACTTCTTGTCTTCCATATTTACACACACACTATATATATGTATATATGTATATACTCTATATGTATATATGACACATACACTTAATTTTTGCTGAACCATTTAAGAGTCAGTTGTCATTGTAGAATGAAAATTACTACATTTTACCCCTGAACACTTGAGCACATGTCCCCTAACAACAAGAGTGTTCTACACAAATACAGCATAATTATCACAATCTTACAACACTATTAGTGAATATACATCCATATTTAAATTTCCCCAGTTATCTCAATGATGTCCTTTATAGCTGTTTTTTTAAAAATCCAGGATCCAATCAAGAATCATGAATTGGGGGCCGGCACAGTGGCACAGTGGTTAAGTTCCTGTGCTCTGCTTCAGCGGCCCAGGGTTCATGGGTTCAGATCCCCATCCCGGGCACGGACCTACACACTGCCCATCAAGCCACACTGTGGTGGCATCCCACCTATGAAATAGAGGAAGACTGGCACAGATGTTAGCTCAGGGACAATCTTCCTTACCAAAAAAAAAAAGAATCATGAATTGCATGTTGCTGTCTCTTTAGTCTCCTTTAATTCAGAACAGTTTCCACACTACTCTGTCTTTCATGATATTGACATTTTTGAAGAATCCAGGCCAGTTGTTTTGCAGAATGTCCCTAATGTGGGTTTGTCTGATTATGTCCTCATGGTTAGATTCAGATTAAACTTTTCTTTTCTTTTCTTTTTTGAGCAAGCATGCCATCTGCCTGCTGCTGTGGGTGCCTTTCCATTGCAGTGCCTTCATTTCAGATGTCCTGGGCCTGGAGGATAGGTACCAGATCCCCAGACCCTCAGGGCTGGGCAGTGGAGAGGCCCAGGGAGCCAGTGGGTAAAGGCCAAAGCTTCAGTCTTGGCAGAGTTTACTGCCAGCAATGGCTGCTGACTGTGGGGCACTCCTGCTGGGCAACCAAGTCCAAGGCGAGAACCTTTCCTTCCCACCAGGAGCTCCGGGGGGCCAGTGGCCAGCCAGCTCCTCGGCCAATGGGTCACCTCTTGCTGCAGCCACTCTCTGTTGATGCTGCTGCAAAGGGAACAAGAAGGGGGCTGAGGGGGTGGCCATGCAGTCCTACAGGAGAGAAGGGACAGCAAGGGGACAGGGTACAATGACAGAGGGAACCAGAATAAAAAACTGACTAAAAGGGTGAGAGACAGAGGGGACACACACACCAGAGAAGGAGAGAAAAGCAGAGAGTGAGAGACACAGAAGCAGAGAGAAACAGAGAGAGACTCAGACACACAGGCCCACGGGGAAAAGAGAGTACCAGCTGGTGTGCTTCACTAACAACTTCCGAGAACATTTCTGAGGCACTTCGGCTTCCAGATTTTGGAAAGTGAAGAGAGTTTGTGTTTACACTGGTCAGAGTCAAAGGGCACAAGGGTTTCTCTCAAGGGGCCATGTGGGGCCACCTGCTTAGTCTGTACTTTTCCAAACACAGAACTTCTCCCTGGCACCCCAGAAGCCAGGCCCTGGGCCAGCAGTTTCTTGCTCCAGCTCAGAATGTCTCCCCTTTTCTCACAGGACTGTTGGCAGATAGGGAAGCCTCCTTGTGACGTATCTAGGGTGAAGGGGAGGAGCAGGAGAGAGGCAGACAGAAGGCAGGACCCAGAGAAAAGAAGAGCACTAAAAATAGCCTTCCTTCTATGAGGGGGGAGGGATCCAAAATCCTAGGAGCTGCCCAGCGGGGGTGACCTTAGCTAATAATAGCAGGCCAGGGTTTTCTCACGAGAAAAGGGACTCGGGGAGGAGAATGGAGGGAGGGAGGCTGCTCCATCCCCAGACTGAGCAGGGTAGAGAAGGGGATCTAACGGACGGTTCTGCTTGGGTGAAACTCCTCTAGAACCCAATGGGGAAGGGCTCCCGATAGAGGAACTTAGTGTGGCCAGAGACGGCTTTCTGACAACAATGTGCACTGCCTGTACTTTTCTTTGGCAGGAACAGAAGAAAAATGAAAATGTGCAATCAGGAGCCATGACGACCTTGGCTTCAGGGCTCACAGCTGAACCCAAGTGAAGAAGCCTTCTCCGCCCTCTGCCCTTGGCCAAAGGAACAAACCCCAGGCCCTGCATCTTACTGAGGAGGTTGAGGGGTGTGAAGGGGCGGGAGAGGACATCCCGGAAACTCTCCAGCCATTCCCGCTGCTCCTTCTCGCTGGGACAGGTGAAGATGAATCTCCGCTGGGGGGTGACGATGGTGAGGCCGGCTTTCCAGCGATTCCCTCGGACGCCCTTGGGCAGGTCCTCATATACCTCGTACCCCTGCTCATTGCTCCCGAGAAAAACCTGGCCTTGCTCAAAGGCGTCCTGAAAATAGAGGACACATGGTCACCAAAGTGGCACCAGCAGCCCTGATAGCCCCCAAGCTCTATTTTAGGAAGAGGTGTGGGGGTCCCCGCTGGGATTTTTGCTAGGTGGGACCCAGAATTTGAAAGTCTGAGACCATAAAAGAAATCACACACATCATCCGTTAAAATGATACTTAACATTTGTGGAAAGGTAACTATGCACCAGGAATTCAAGTGCTTTACATGTAGTAACTCGGGCAACCTCTGAGGAAGGCACTGTTATTAAGCTTATTTTCCAGGGAGGAAACTGAGGCACAGAGAGCTAAGTACTCTGTCCAGGGCACACCACTGAAAGTGGCAGGGCTGAAATCGGAGCCCAGACAGCGGAGTTCTAGAGCCCACTCTCCTAGTCACTACGCTGCACAGCCTCCTGGTTAGAAGTGAGCCCTGGAGACTAGAGGATGAGAAACAACCTATAAAACTGCCAAAATGGCAGCATTTTGGATACGCATAAAGAACTGCCTAACGGTGAGGGGAGGGAATAGCTTCATGCACAGGAGATGACTTAGAGATGAGCAAAGGTGGAGGTGTGTCCCTTGCCAGGTTTCTCCAGCCCAGTAGCTTCCCCATAGTCCCCGACCAGCATTGACCCCACCTCTGTCTGGGGGTGCACTGGGGAGGGGCCAGCAGTGGCTCTTACCAGTGGGTTCTTGTAATAGAGCAGCCTCCGCTCCTGGGGATCCAGGGCGAACCACCTTTTCTTGAAAGGTTCTCTCTGCTGCAAAAGAGGGGACCTCGTACCAGGGTCGGCCAAGCTGGGGAGCACAGAGGTCAGAGGGCCAGCCTCGTCTAGGCCAAGAGAGCTGGCCAGGCCCAGCTCCCCGGTCAGACACCCCAGCACTCTTCTCTGAGGCCCTGGAGCTCTGAAGGCTCTGCCCTCTTCCTCACCCACTGCCAGCTTCATGCACCCTGCCGCCTCTAGGTGCTGCTGTGGGTTGGAAGAGGCGCTTTCCTCTTTTTCAGATGGTGGACAAGAAGTCTCAGAAAAAGGAAGTCAGGGAAATCAGAAGTGGCTACTGCTCAGCAATCCTAAAAGCGCTGGCCTTAGCCGAATTCTGACCTAGGTCAGGGGCAGGAAAGCCCCTGGGCAAGAACCACGAGGAGGGGCTGTGCCACTAGCTGGTGAAGGAAGAAAAGAAAATGTGCAACACTTTGACTAGTTTTCAAGCTGCCTGAGGTTTCCTTTCACACTGATTGCCTAACACCCTTCACTGTAGGTTTAACAACCATCCTGTCAACATATTACACCTTAAAAAAAAGGCATTGGAATGCTGCTGCTTTGGGAGTTTTTTAGGGAGCTCCCTCTGCTTCTCCCTTCTTTTACCCTTTGCCTCCTCCCTTCCCCCCTTCCTCCCCACACAGCCAGACCCTCCCCAGCCAGACTTCTGACTTTGAGCCTCGCTCCACCCAGCATCCAGGCTGGGTCTGAGATGTCCTGGGGCAGCAGAAGCCTCCACTCCTCTGGACCCTCCATGGAGCACAGAAGCAGCCACGCTCCCTTCCTTCATAGATAAGTGGGAGTGAACAGCCCCTGGGGGTTGGGGCAGGTTTAGCAAAGGAGAGCAGAGGCTGAGTTTGAGGGAGGGGTGTATGCTGGGGAGGGTCATGCCCACGTGGGCCTCGCTGGCACTCAAGCATGGGTGTATAGGTGTGTTTTCTCAAACTAATCACTAGCCCCTGTCACACTTGCATGGTCCTGGTAGGCCCCCAGCATAGAGCACCCAAGGGTTCTGGAAAATGCAAAAGCTGTCCCCCAAAGAGTCCTTTTTCAGCTAGTCTTTCCCAAGAGTAGGGTCAGTTAGATGGACTTAAGAGGAAGGAAGCCAATGGTGATGCTGATAAAGAGGGAGGATGCCCGAGCCGGCCGGTGGTGTAGTGCTTAAGTTTGCATGCTCCACTTCGCTGCCCCGGGGTTCACAAGTTCGGATCCCAGGTGTGGACCTACACACCACTAGTCAAGACATGCTGTGGTGGCGTCCCACGTACAATATAGAGGAAGATTGGCACAGACGTTAGCTCAAGGACAATCTTCCTCAAGCAAAAAGAGGAAGATTGTCAACAGATGTTAGCTCAGGGCCAGTCTTCCTCACCAAAAAAAAAGAGGGAGGATGCCCAGTGAGAGGGAGAAGCACCTGCAATGCTGGATCACACCCCCCTAACCAGTCTCCACTGGTCCTTCTCCCCAGGAATCACAAACTTTGGTTTACTTCCCTTCCTTCCCTCTTCCCACTCCCCGGTTCCCCATTTTCCCACCTCCCAAATTCTCCCCTACTGCCTGCTGGGACAGGGGCCATGAAAGTCCCCCAGGGAGTGGTAGAACGTACCTTTGGGCCAGTCTTTTCCATGAAGCCTTGTTTGAGGTAGTTCCTGGTGATGAGGGGCACGAGCTGGGGGAAGAGAGACATACACTGACCCCCTGACTCACACCCTGGGGACTCAAGGTTCCCCACTGAACTTGGCTCCCCAACAAAGGGGAAGTTTGGAATGAGGAAGGATGTGTGCTTATGGTTCACAGGGTTATATCTGGAACACGGTATGGATGCAATATTAATATTTCAACAGAGCCAGACGACAGCAACCCAGATGTCTGTAGAGCTTACCAGCACGGCTGAGTCTTGGTTTAAGGACTGAGTTTAAGGACTCCTTCAGTAACCCCAGGAGGTGGACATAGGCAAGACTCTGAGGAGACCCTCCTGGCATTAGGGGGCATGTTCTGAGGTCTACCATGTGTCAGGCTCTGGGTGCAATTCTCAACCATCCTGTGAGGTGGTGGATATTATCATCCTCATTGTGCATATGAAGAAACCAGGCCTCAGAGAAGTGGTTGGGGATTTTCCCAAAGTCACAGTGCTAGTCGGATGAAGAGGTGGATTCGCACCTAGGGCTGACAGACACCAGACAGACTCTACTGGTCCTCCTGTCACTACTGTGATGCTGAAGTAGAAACATGCCAGAGCCCTCTGATCAGGCCCCTGGCCAAGACCTGGTCATTGGCGGGGATTCTGACACAGGACCGCAAGGAGATGATGGCAGAGCAGGCAAGTAGAGAAAGCTCTGGACTAGGAGCTGGGGGGCCCGGGTTCCAGCTCCAGTTCTGACCTCAACCAGCTATGCGACCTTGGTAAAACCTTATGCCTCTTGGGCCTGTTTCCCTCTGTGTAATAAGGAAACTGGATTACATGGTCTCCAGGATCCCCCAGCTTGCCATCCTAAGCTCAGAGAAGCTTCCCAGCATTGATGCTCCAGGGGGTCAAACTGGCAAGTCCAGAGCCTCAAACAATAGCCCAGGCTTCTGAGAGCAGAGGTGGTTCTCCAGAGCTCCAGGGCCCAGGACAGAGGCAAAGGGGAGGTGAGGTCTGGGGAGCAGGAATGGGAAGTCTGAAAGGGGGAAAACTGTGAGCCAAAAACGAAAATATAACCTATACCACTCCCCTTTCCCTGAAATACATTCTGCAGGCTTTAATCCCTTCATTTAGAGGAAAGAAAGAGTCCGTAACAGCTCAATTACCTAAACTTGAGCCAGGGCAGGGCTAATCTAGGCCTAGGGAAACAATTGGAAGACGAAGGAAAATCACGTAGATGGAGGACTATTTACTGTACCTTAGATGCTTTGGCTCACTCGAGTCTCACAATAGCCCCGGAAGGTAGGTATTGTCCCCATGGTGACAGATGAGTAAACTGAGGCTCAGAGAGGTGAGGTGGCTTGCCCTAGGTAACACATCAGCTTCTCTGACATCAGAGTCCATGCATTTCTTATTACAGGACCACAAGCCCCCCAGGACTCCCTGGGTTTCTGGCACCTGGATCCCCAAGTTTGAGCCAAGCCTGGGTGATGGCCCAGAACCTCAACCATCCATAGACATAGGGGGAGGGAAGACTGGGAGAGGGGCGGAGAGGGGGGAGATTAGGGGTGGATAAGGGGTAACAATGGTGGATGAGGGAGGCAAGAGAACATTGAGGATGTTGGCCAAAGACCAATTTCCTCCGCAGGGGTCAGCAAAGTTGGAGAGCCAGCCCAGATAAATAAGGCCCAGCGTCTGCACTTTGTCCTCTCCAGTCAGCAGTCAGCACTCCTAAGGCCCCGCCCACAGGAAAGCACAGTCACCAGTTCCGGGTGCTGACTCTGCAGACAACGAGGGTCCTGACCCAGGCCTGGCTGGAACTGCTCCCAGAGAACTGCCATCTCAGTGTGTCACTGGGCCTGGAGTGGAGCCCCATTCCAGACACCTCGCTCCCTGCAAACCTTGGAATTAAGGAGCATTTAGGCTTTCAACAAGGGTTTAATCTTTTGGAATAAGAAAGTCCCAGGATTAACATGATCTCTCCACCCCTGGCACTTACAAAATCCTCTTAGGGCAGGGCTTAAAACAGGAATCAGAGCATAGCACCTCAGAGCTGGAAGGGACCCTGAAGATGACCCAGACCAAACATCATCTTACAGATGTGGAAACAGATGCTCAGAGAAGTGACGTGACCTGCAGTGGTCACACAGCAAGTTAGCGACAGAGCATCCAGGAGAACCCAGGCCTCCTGGCTCGAGGTAGCATCCTCTGGCCCACACTATGCGGCTTCCCCAGCCAAGGCTGAGAGATGTGGATGGATGCCCCAGCTGTCTGAAGACAATCAAAATGAAGTTCTCAGGCTCACCATTACCTTGGCCATGAAAGGCAGACTGTTCCTGTTAGAACTGCAATGAGGAAGACCCCACTGCCTTCCGAGACCAGAACACGAAAGGGCAAAAGAGGGGATGTTAGAGTGGGAAAAGCATCCTCAGTTTCTCATCAGTGAAATGGGGATAAGCACCCCCAGCTAACCGCCTGCTACAAGGGATCACCAGATAAAAGGGATTAAAAGACAAAATGAGCTCAAGAGCACTTAGTAAGCAGTATGTTAGGGATCGCTCATACATTTTAGTAGGAGAAGGGGTCAGAAAGAGATGCCCAAATCCTGAGCCCTTGACACTGTGGGTGGTGGCCATGCATCCTGAAGGGGCGAGCCTGACCTGATTTTTGGAAGCTGCCTTGCCATGTGTGAGGCCATAATCCCCCAGCCTCCCTGGGAGAAAGCTTTTGGTTCCCTCTGAGATACCCAACCCCAAGTCTCAAGGTCTTGCCTGCAAACAAACCTAGTCTGGCCTCTGAGTGTCTTCGAGGTCAGCAGACAAGGAAAGAAGGAGGTGGCAGAGAGGAGACTCGGAAGTTGGGGTCCACGTTTAGCTCACCTCAGACTCTGGGAGCTCAGGAAAGACCATTTTTAGGTATTGCAGACGGGCTGCACGGAGGGCATTGAACCAGTCCACTATCTCCTGCGGAGAAAAGGCAAAGGACAGACAGATAGCCCATGAGACGGAGGCGAGGGGAGCTGAGTCTCGTAGTGGGAGGCTAGCTGGATCTTCGGGTTTGGGCCCATGCATTCGGCACATGCACACACCCCCAATTTCACTCAGGGGCCTGTGGGCTGATCAGGCATCTGGGAGGACAATGCCAGAAGCCAGGGGGGCTCACCTGAGCAAGTGGCAAGCCACTGACAGGGAGATCCCCAGAGCCATGGGAAAGGACCATGAGGAGCCTCACGGGAGTTATGCAGTGGCCCAAAACAGTGCTTCCACTCTCTAAGGTGTGTACCAACGACCTGAGGATCTCGTTAAAATGCAGATTTGGATTCAGTGGGCTTGGCTTGAGACCCGAGATTCTGAATTCCTAACAAGCTCTCAGGTGATGCGATGCTGGCCAGTGGGACACACTTTGAGGAACAAAGGTCCTCAGATGTCAAAAACCGGGTTTCAGGTGGGGGCACGTGCACTTGGGGATGCTCCTCCAATGGGGATGCTCATTGCCAGGAGTGCAACTTAGGCTAAAGCTGGCTTGGACCTTTTGCTGTCACTCTGAGAGATTGCCTCTCTCAGCAATGTGGGCCACCATCATCTCTCACCTGGTGAACCGCTTATCTGGCTGGCTGTGCCTCTGCCTGCTGCTCTCCCACCGGTCCTCCCTACGACAGCGAGCATGATTTTCCACTTGCAAACCTAGCTGAGTGTAGCCTAGAGTCCTCTCCATTTCCCTCAGGAAAAAAGTCTAAGTTCTTTAGTATGACTTACTTTGCCCTCTGAGCTCCTTCCATACCAAACCATTTGCAATTCCCCCAATACATGCTGTTCCCTCCTCCTGGAACACTCTGCCTCACCCACCTCTCTCCCCTCACCCTCCACACACCTTTTACCCAGAACATTCTACTCATCCTGAAGGTCAGTTTAGATGTTGTAATAGATTTTTGTTCAGCCCAAGCCATGCTTCTAGGGGAACTTCCCCACCCATTCTCACCCACCCACCACCCACCCACTATTGCAGCCACATTTGCTGCTATGATCCCACCCCTTTTTAGCCAGAGCAACTGGACTAGGGCTGGACCAATGCAGGGGCTGGACCAATGCAGAGGCTGGACTGGGCTTCTCAGATTCTTTCTTCTAGGAATTTGGAATTGAGAGGCTGAAAGACTTGTTCAAATAGCTGCAGTGCTGCACTGAGATGTAATACAGTGATTGAGAAATGCATCTGGATATGGTTTTGGAGGAATGAAACATCATTACCCTTTCTCTCTCACAGGTCTAGCACATAGGCCTAGTATTTTGGAGTTCTGAGCTCTCTTGTCCTGGGAGGTAAGAACCTTCTTGGGTCTCAGGCACTAAGGGAATGGGGTCATCCCAGGAAATAGTCACCTAGCCCTTCACTTTGGAAAGTCTCTCCAGTCACAGACTGGTGACCCTGGGGCCAAGTCCAACTTCCACACATGTTTGTTTGGCTCTTGAAGTTTTGTTTGCTTGTTTCAATCCTCAATACAGGTTTTCCTGTTTGCCACAGCCTTATAGCTGTCCACTGCACTTTTAAATTACCTATCTGGCTCCTGCAGGCATGACTTTGCAGCCCCTCATTTATGCCCAGCTAATGCAGAAGCTGGCACATCAAGGGAAAGAGGAGAGTGGCCAGACCCAGGTTGTCAGATGCTCTAGAACCAGGCAAGTGGGAAGGAGCCAGGTACCATAAGGGTCAGAGACCTTGGGCACCTCAGCAAAAGTCCTCGTAGCAGCAATTGGCATGGAGGGATGGCCACCGGTATCCAGCCAATCCGGACATGGGGCAACAGCAGAGAGCCCACCATGGACTGCGAACCAGGGATCTCCTCCATGTCTGCCAGACTGCCTGAGTCCCAAGACTCTGGTAAGGCCAAGGGTGGGAGCCGAGAAAGATGATTGATATTAGATTTCTTGCCAATTTTGGGAATGGGGTCCTGAAATTCAGAAAAACAAAGAAGTGGGACATTACTTGCACCCCTGGTGTTATAGAAAAATGTGTTCCTGTTAGAAAGAGGGTGTACACACTCTCTCTCTCTCACACACACACCACACACACCACGGTTCCTGATTCTAATCTCTCAGGAGGCCCAGCCATACTTCTAGCCCTTGAAATAAATACCCTTGTATCTTTCCCATTCATGGCCCCTTTAAGCTGCTTTGAGTGTTCTCTTTTTCAGCATATTCACACAATTCTTAAACAGAAACTCCTTTTCTGGAAAGCCTTTTTGACTGCCTCCTGTCCCCCCAGACTAGACCACTTACATGACTCCTGTGTGTCCCCAGCACGACCTCCACCCCAGCACGTGGCATCATCAGTGCCTATTTCCCCATCCGTCTCCCTCCCTAGACTGTGAGATCCTTGAGGCCCACCCCCGGCTCTGCCCCGTTCACTACTGCACTCCCTAGGACCTGGACAGTGCTTTGCACATTGCAGGGGCTCACTAAGATTTATTGAAAGAGTGAATTCATGAAAGAATAAATGATACAGATGTGAAATTGCTCAAGATTTTGTCTTTTACATCTGCTACAATCATGAGCAAATAACAACAGTAGCAACTAATGTTTGCGATGCACTTCACCATAATGAAGTGCTTTCACCTTCATGGTTCTTGGTCACTCAACCCTCAAACGCCCTCTGAGAGGTGGGTGTTATGATCCATAAGCAAGCAGACTTAGGAGGGGAAGGGACCTGCCCCCAGTGACAGGGCCGGGAGTGACAGAACCAGGGCCCCTACTTCTGACTCTAAACCCCTTCTCTTCAGACCACATCACCAAGATCTCTGCCCAGACTCTGGGGAAAGCATGAAGTCTGCTGGGAGGGCGATCCATTGTCACCTCCCCAGTGCTGGGGTGCCTTGGGAAGATCTGGTCCCTGTATCTGGTTCCTGGCTCCTGCTGCCAAGGGTTTTCGCCCCAGCAGAGGCACACGGGGTGGTAAAATGGGTGTCAGGCTCAGGAACCATTGGCTGTGTGACTCTGAGCAAGTGACTTAACATGTCTATGCCTCAGTAACACGGGGATAAAACATTTCCAGGGTTGTTTTGAGGATTAAGAAATGATGTATAGTGATTACCAAGAACAGTGCCTGGCACAGAATTAATAGATACTTACAAAATGTCAGCCCCCACCTTAACCCCTCCCCGCCTCCACTTAGCATCTCTGTCCCTTGCCCAGTCACATGACCCTGCTCATTCTGACCCAGCTTACTCTCTTGGACCTGTACCATTGGCCTGCTCTTCTCTGACGGAGCTGATTTCCTAGAACTTTAAGTAGTGCTTCTCAAAATTTAATATGTTTAAGGACCACCTGGGGGTCCTGTTAAAATGCAGTTTCTAATTCAGTAGGTCCAGGGTGGGTATGAGATTCTAGTTCTAACAAACTCCCAGGTGATGCTAATGCTGTTGGTGCAGGACCACGTGTTGAGAGGCAAGGCCGTAGAGTGCACTGCTGCCTTATCTTCTATCCATTCCTCTTCCCATATTAAGAATCTCTGGTCCTACCTGGATTTGCCACCCCTGAGCATAGTCCCTTCTGCTAATTGGACTCCCCTGGGTGGCTGTGAACTGTCCAGACACACCCATGATACCTGCCAGGTTCCTCTCCCTGGTCTCACTCTGCCTTACTCATACCTCTCTGGCCTCAGACCAGAAAGTGACAATAGATTAAGGCAAACAGCAGCAGCAAATCTCCCGAGGCTGCGCAAGGGAGCCAGTGAGCTGGGTCTACCGAGTCCGGGGATGCTGAGCTGGACACCAGTGTGGCAGGGCCAGTCATCTCACCTTCCCACTCTCGTGATACACAAACAGGTTCCTGATGTGCCCCTCTCTGCTGTAGGTGATCTGCAGCCCGTGGGGGTTCCCTATCTTCTCTGTCTGGAAGGTGGCATTCAAGTCCTTGATGCTGATGACAGCTTTGGGGCTTTTACCCTGAAAGAGAGGAAGCAGATACTCAAGATGCTGACAGTCAGCGGGGTGATTTCTCATTATAGTCACCAATGAGACTGAATGCCTTAATGCAAACAGATAACCAATTTGTAACTCTGCCTGGGTTTTTAATGTTCTTGCTCTAATGTCAAGATGCACAGACACTCTCCTGCTCTCCTGTATTCAGCTATCCCACCATTCCTGCTTAATCAGATTGGCCTCTCTGAGCTGGAAGGGGGCTTTGAAAGTCTTTCACTGAGGACTTTTCAAACATTTTAGCCATAGAACTTTTTCTGAATCAAATCATCCATGGAAGCCAAACAAATAAAATAAAATAAAAGAGATAAACAGATAAAAGCAGGTGTGGGGGCCTCAAAGCACTCCCTCCCACTCTACTCTCTGTTCTCAGGTTCTGAAACACAGTTTGAGCACTAACTGAGCTAAGAAGGGAAGGGAAAAGAAGTGCTTTCCTTCAAAACTGAAAAGAGAGAAAAATGATAAAAACACTCTAGACCTCTGGTAGCCATTCACCATACGTGGCTATTAAAATTAAAATGAAATGAAATTAAAACTTCAGTTCTTTAGTCACACTTAGCCCCATGTCAAGTGCTCAGGAACCACCTGTGCCTAGTGGCTAGGGTATTGGACAGGTGCAGACGCAGAACATTTTCATCACTGAAGAAAGTCCTATTCGAGAGTCTTCTCCATAGGGAAATTTGGTCACATTTATTAAAATGTTGAGTGTTTTGCTTTGACCCACAATTTTGCATCTAAGAATCTATCCCAAGGAAGTAATTGCATTACTATGCAAAGATGTATGTCAAAAGATGTTTACTGCGGTGTTGCTTATAATAGTTTAAAAAAAAAAAAAAGGAAGAAGAAATTATTTAAATATCCATCAGTGATAACGGGTTAAATAAAAAAATCGTGGTAAATCCACACAATGAAATGCCACAGAATTTTTTAAAGGACAATTTAGATCAATATTACTAATATGAAAAAATGTCCATGACATCCATGAGTGAGAAATACCAAGTCCCAGAACAAGGTGTGTAGTTGGAACCTACTAATACAAAAATTATACACAGGTACACACAAAAATATATGTACATTATATATAAACATGTGTCCATATATATGTATATTTGAACATGCATAAAAAGTATAGACAGATTTACACCAACACTCTCAACAATGGTTTTCTTGAAAGATTACTGGAAGACTTTCATTTTAAAATATTTACTATGGGGGCCGGCCCGGTGGCAAAAGCGGTTAAGTGCGCGTGCTCCACTGCAGTGGCCCGGGGTTCACCACTTCGGATCCCGGGCGTGCACTGACGCACCGCTTGGCAAGCCATGCTGTGGCGGCCTCCCATATAAAGTGGAGGAAGATGGGCATGGATGTTAGCCCAGGGCCAGTCTTCCTCAGCAAAGAAAGAGGAGATTGGCAGATGTTAGCACAGGGCTGATCTTCCTCACAAAAAAAATAAATAAAATATTTACTATGAAAAATACTAAAAATATGAAAAAGTACATCTAATTACAATCAATATTGTTCCTAACTTTTTAAAAAAAGAAATATGATATTACTAATAAAGCCAAAATCCCTTTAACTACTATTCACCCTGTGCCTTTCTCTTCCTCTACTTCCCACAGGCAATCACTGTCATAAGTTTCATGTTCATCCTTCTAGTTCACTCTTTATACTTTTACACACATATACACATATCTATATGGCTTTAAGTTACATAAATGGTGTCATACTATATGGATCATTCTGTATCTTGCTTTTGTCACTCACATATTTTTTTGTTCTATCCATGTTGAGATATACCCACCTAGTGTGCTCTCGTAAATGACTACACCAAAAGTTATCAGTCTGTTTTCCTGTTGACGGACATTGAGATTGTTTCTGATTTTTGCTGCAGTCAGCTTGTGTCCCTGGTACACATATGTAAGGGTTTCTCTAGGTCACAGGATACATCTAGGAATGGAATTGCTAGATCACAAGTGTGTACATCTTCGACTTACCAGAAATTGCCAAATTATTTTGCTGAATGGCACTTCACAGTGGTTGTACCAATATTTACTTCCATCAATAACACAGAAGAGTTCCCCTTTCTCCATATTCTCACCAATCCTTGACACTGCCAGTTTTTAATATTTTTGCCGACATAATGAGTTTGAAATTGCATCTCATTGTTAATTTTCATTTAATCAACTTTATTGGGATATATTTTATAAACAATAAATGTACTCATTTTAAGGGTACAGTTTGATTTTGGACAAGCGTATATACCCATGTACCACCACCACAATCAAGATATAGAACATCACTATCACTTCAAAAGAGTTCCCTCCCATCCCTTTGCGGTCAATCCCCACCACACCCCAATCCCAGACAATCACTTATCTGCTTTCTATTGGTATAGAGTAGTTTTGCCTGTACTAAAATTTCATATAAATGGAATTATGTAGTACACACTCTTGTATAAGGCTACTTTTGCTCAGAATATTTTTTAGATTGATCCACACTGTTGCATTTATTAATAGTTTGTCTCTTTTTATTGCTGAGTAATATTCTATTCTATGGATAACTACAATTTGTTTATTCATTCAGTTGTGGATAAGAAATTGATGTTTTAAGCCACTAAGTTTTAGGGTGGTTTGTTACTCAGCAACAAATCACTAAAATACTCAGTCCTTAGACACCTTTTCTCATCTACCCATACTCTCTGCCGAGGTGATCCCAGCCAGTCCCATTGCTAAACCAGTCAACATGCTGATGACTCCAGCTCCAAACTCTCCTCAAACCTCCAGACTCCAACTTCTTTCTCAAAGTCTCCACTTGGGTGACTAATAAGCATCTGCAGCTAAAAAGGACTCTTGATCATCCCCTTAGGGAGCTAAGTCTTTGCCATCTCAGCAAATGGCAAATCTGTCTTTCTAGTTGCATAGGGCAAAAGTCTGGGAATCATCCTCGATTCCTCTTACTGTCACACCCCACATCCAATCCTTCAGTAAATCCCATTGGCTCTACTTCTAAAATATGTGCATAATCTGACCATTTCCAACCACCTCCTTCACCGCCATCCTGGTCTGATCCATTATTATTACTTGATTATTGCAGCAGCTTCCTAACTGGTGTCTCTGCTTCTGCTCTTGCCTCCTCCCTGCCCTACCCCCACCCCAGCAGCAGCCAGAGTGTTCCTTTAAAAAAGCTTAAGTCAAATTATATCACTTCTCTGCTCAAAACCCTCCTGTGGCTTCCCATCTCCAAGTAAAGTCCAAATGCCTAAATTTTTTGTAAATCATCCAATAAGGGACTTGTACCTAGAACATATAAAGAACTATTACAGCTAAATAATAAAAAGACAACCTAATTAAAATATGAGAAAAGGATCTGAATAGACATTTCTACAAAGACTGGCCAATAAGCACATTCAAAAACACTCAACATGGTCAGCCATCAAGGAAATGCAAATCAAAATCACAAGGAGATACTACCTCATATCCACTAAGATGGCTATAATCAAAAAGACAGATAATAACAAGTGTTGGTGAAGATGTGGAGAAATTGGAACCTTCATATATTGCTGGTGCGAATATAAAATGGTGCAGCCACTTTGGAAAACAGTGTGAGAATTCCTCAAAAGATTAAACATAGAACTACTATATGACCCAACAGTTCCACTTCTAGGTATATACCTAGGAAAAATGGAAATATATGTCCACAGGAAAACTTGTACATTAATGTTCATAGCAGCATTATTCATACTAGCCAAAAAGTAGAAATGATCCAAATATCCATCAATTGATGAAGGAATGAATGAAATGTGATATATCCATACAGCAGAATACTACTTGGCAATAAAAAGAAATGAAATACTAATACGTGCTACGACATGAATGAACTTAAAAACATAATGCTAAATGAAAGAAGTCCGTTACAAAATACCACATATTGTATGATACAATTTATATGAAATGTCCAGAATAGGCAAATCCATAGAGACTGAAAGTGGATTAGTGGTTGCCCAGGGCGTGTGGTGGAGCAGAGTGGAGGATTACAGCTAATAGGTATGAGGTTTCTTTTTGGGGTTATGAAAATGTTCTAAAATTGATTGTGGTGATAGTTGCACAACTCTGTGAATATACTGAAAGCCATTAATTGTACACTTTAAATGGGTGAATTTTATGGTATGTGAATTTATATCTCAATAAAGCTATTTAAAAAAAAAAATCCCAAGTCTCACTATGGCCTACGAGGTCCTCACCTATGTGAGTTTATCTCCTTCCATCCTTTTCTTTGCTCACTCTGCACCAGTCACTTTGGCCTCCTTGATGCCCTATAGACCCACCAAACATACTCCTAGCTCAGGCTAGGGCTATGTCTTATGGTTGAGCAGTTTGTGCACTGAACAAAAAGCCCCTAGCTGAGGGTGCAAGAGAGAAATGCAATTCAGCTGTCTAGACTGGGACCCAGGGACTGCACCCTCTCAGAGTGGTCATCTTTCCTAATCAGCACACAGGTCTGTGTGCTGGCCATGACCACGCTCAGGGCTTCTGCACACACTGTCCCCTCTACTTCTTCTCCTCTTCCCCCACGTATCCACATAAGTCACTCACATTTATTCAGTTCTCTGCTCAGATGTCATCAGAGAGGCCTCCCCTGACCACCCTGTGGTAGCACCCCCCACGCTCCCATCATTCTCTAAACTTTTGCCCTCTTTTATTTTACTTCCTAGAACTCACTGCCACCTGATATATCATTTATTGATGTATGTTTGGGTTACCACCTGTCTCCTTCCACTGGAATGAAAACTCCATGAGACTAGGAGCTTCGTTTAGTTCATGGCTGTACCCTCAGTGCCTAGAATAATGTCTAGTATATAGTAGGTGCTCAATAAAAATTTATTGAATGCATGAATAAATTAACTAAAATCAAGTGATCATCAAAGGCTTAATCACAGACCAGGCTAAGCCCATTCTAGGTGAACAGAAGGTATATTTTCTAGTGGACTGGATTGATTGTATAACCAAGGAAAAGTAGCAGAATGTGGTGCCTAACTCTGATTGGCCGAGATCATCCACAAGATAAGGCGCCAGTGATTGAAATGTAGGCCTCAGGGAGTGAGAGCCAGTGCTCAGGGAGGAGACCCCTTGCTGGTCTGGCCTGTTACCTCTTCTTTAGTGTAGTACTTCAGGAGGCCTTCTCTTGCCAGGAGGACAAACCTCCTTCTCAGGAACTGCGCGTTGTCCTTTCCCCGCTTCCACAGGAACCCTTCTCGGTTACCTTAGCCACCAAGGACAAGAAAGAGCGAACATCCACAGCCTTAAGATGAACAAGCAGCTCGTAAACCTTGTAGGGTCTCAGGGGTGGAATGAACTCCCCACCTGCTGCTAAAATGTCTCAAATCTAACTCAGCTATTTCAGCTGCAGGACGCAGGGATCCTGTCTAGGGCCAAATTTGCAATGTCTCATGATTTCAGTTGGGCTCTCCCGAACATCCTTCCTTGGCTGTTTCATGAGAAGACATAGTAAACCCTTAAGTAGACTAAGTCCTGAGAAACTGGACTTATTCTGAAGGAGGTCCATATGGTCCTGCCCAACTTCAAGCTGCCATCAGCCTAATGACACTCTCCAGAGTGCAGGAATAACGAGTGACCTCTAGGCACCTGCTGGTTGAAGAATACCATGCACTCCTGGTAGCTAGGAGTTGAGCACTGGCTGCCTCTGGTCCTCAAAGAGTGGTTTTCTACACTTTGCTCTATGGATCAGTGTCAGCTTGGACTCAGAGCAGCTGGACAGAAACTGCCACAGGCCCAGGGTCACCGATGTGGCTGAGCCCTGCACAAAGGCGGAAAAGGAGGCTGAAATCCAGCCCACGCACCCTACCACGCCTGGTGCCACACCAGGGGCTACATTAGCTGCAGCTGGGAGCAGGGGTGCCTTTTTCTAATTGGTCTGCTCAGTGGGGGAGTCTTACTGCAACTTAGACTATACACACACTTGTGGCCCTGCAGTGACCTCAGGCAAATATGCTTCTCGGCCACTCAAACCATAAAACCAGCTGATGTGTTGCTGTTTCAGAGGTAAAGGAACCCACACCTTGGCCTCTGTGGCCAGAGTGAGGGTAGCAGGCATCTCCTGGTTGGACCTTGTTCTTAATACTCAGGCACTTTGTTTTCTAGAACTTATTAGAAGATAGACCTCAAAAGATGATGAAAATAACTTTACCTGGGGGTAAGATGGTCTTCCCATCAGCCATAAATTCCTGTCTCTCATACTTAGCTCGAATCCATTGTTCCTTTAAGACCCTAAAAAGAGAGAACCTGTGTTCAGCTGTGTCTGATGCAGCCTCTTCCCACAGTAACTTTCCGAGACCCTACAGCCGAGGGTGGGAACATCACAGCAGCTGCCATACTGCCTGCTCAGGCTACCCAGGGTTTCTTGGCCTCAGCACTCTTGACATTTGAGGCTGGATAATTCTTTGTTGTGTGGGGCTGTCCCGTGCTTTGTAGGATGTTTAGCAAGGTCTCTGGCCTCTACTCTCTGGGTGCCAATAGCACCCTCTCCCCAGCTGTGACACCCAAAAATGTCTTCAGATATTGCCAGTGTCTCCTGGGGGGAAATATTTCCCCCAGTGGGCTACATGAAAACCGCTGGGCTATTCCAACCCTAGCCTCAGCCCTCTAGGTCAATGAGACAGATACCGGCTCTCCTGGACCAACTACACTGCCTCCTCCCACTGCATGCTCATGAGCGTAAGCCAGGAGAGTCCATGAGCCTCTTCCTGTGGCCTGTGCATGAGATCTAGGCATGCTACATTGGACAGAGCAGTAGTCTCGGGGTTTGACTACCTGGGATCTGGTCCCACTCTACCGTGTATCCACTGTGTGACCAAGGGCAAGTCACTTAGCTACTCTGAACGTGGGGAATATGCCAATAATATTACACCTACCTATCCCTCAGGGCTGTTAAGACGTTTAAATCTATATAAAGGGCCTTGTACCACATTCAGCACATAGTAGATTTAATGTTAGCCCAAAAAGATATTGTCATCCATGATCCCTGCAGAAAAGTCATGCAGCCAAGAGTGGATGTATTTCAACTGTTTGGTTCCCTCTCGCCTTTTCCAGGTAAATGTTCCAAGGTTTCTATGACCTCACCCCACAGCCACAGGGAATGACCAAGAGCTGGGCACCTGGCCCAAACTGGTCAACCAGAGCTCTGCCCTGGGCTGCGTGGACCAAAAAGAGCAAAACTGAGAGAAGGATGGATGGGAAGCCCTCTCGGGAACAAGCTGGGAGCTGGAGCCGGGGACCTGGAAGTGGTCTTGTTCCCAGCTGCATGAAGGAAGCTGGCTGAGAGAAAGAGATAGGAATGAGGGCCAGAGACAGTGTAAGAGACCTGGAGGCGTCTGAGCCCCCGGCTTGTCCTTCCTGAGGGTGGCTCCACTCCAGAGGTCTGAAGGACCTCTCTTCCTCTTGAGGTCTGAGCCCCAGAACCCATAGAATTCCCTTGTGCCTCAGCTGGTTTGAACTGGGTTTCTGTCACTTACAATCAAGAGTCCTACCTAATGCGCAGCCCTCACCCCCAGCACATTGAGGAGAGTCACCAAGCCCACCGTGGAACCCTGAGCCACAGCATCAAAGCTGGGAGAGGGAATGGAAACTGAGGCCCCAATCCCAGTCCTGGAGGTGGGGATTTTAGAGGACTTTTAGAATCGGGGAGAGGAGGCCATTAGTATTCAGCTAAAAGGGGTTAACGTGCAGGACTGTTGTTGGAGTCAGGAAAACAGTGTCTCTGTAGTGCTGGCAGAAAGCCTAGCACATAGTGGGTGCTCACCAAGTGCCTGCTCCTTTCCCCTTGGAGCAAAGGGGTGAGTGGCAGCAGGGAGGCAAGATGGCCAGGCCTTCTCATGTTAAGTCTGGCAGATCCATCTGCTGGCCAGGGACCAGGCAGCATTCCAAAGCTGACACTGAGAAATGGATTAAAACTAGCATGTTGGGTGGCCTATGAGATGTTTTACATAAATTATCTCATTTAATCTCTCCCACTGTGCTATAATGTAGGCATCATTATCTACATTTCAGAGATGAGGATGCCACGAATCAGAGAGGTTTGGTAACTTGTCCACCTTCTCACAGCTAGATAGTGGTAGAGTCAGAAAACAATACTGGGGTCTTCCAAATCGACAGCTGTGCCTCCCCTACCACTCCAGGCTGCATCAGTAGCCCCTGGGTTGTTTCAATACTGGGAAATTATAGGACGCTAGGTACAGTTGTATAGTTTGTGTATTGTCCAAAAGCATCCTGCCAAGGCTCGAGGACAACAGTGGCTGAAATGCAGCCTGCTTCCTGCAAGCCATGCCCCCATGAGGTCGTGTCTGCTCAGAGGGACACCTTCTCCCCATTTACACGAGGCGCGTCTAGCAGCCCTGGCGGTGAGGCTGAGTCCCTGGGAGGGAGGCTCAGGCTCAGGCAGTCAGTCCTGCAGAGGTCTGGGGTTACGAGGTACCAGTGTCACACTGACCCCTCACCTCCAGGAGACCCAAACCCTCCTGCTGCTTCACAGCCCCACCTCCCATTATACTGGATTTTCCCAATACCACGGTACAGTCACCCAGGCCGTGGTGTCGCATGGACTAGTCCCAGCTCTGCCTCTCTAAGCCTCTAAGCCTCAGGTTTTTCATCTACATCATGGGGATAATGGCAGTATTTATCTCATAAGGTTGTAAGAGAGAATTAAACAAATTAATGCACATAAGCATTTAGCACAGGTACATAGGAAAAGCTCAATAAATACTAGTAGCTACTGTTATTTTTACGGTTATTAATTAGGGATCTGGGGTCCAGGCAGCTGCTTTGGAGCTATGCTGAGCTGAGATGGGACAGCCCTAGGCACAACACTCCACAGGAAGTAGCTGAAACACATCTGCTCTACGAAAATACCAGTGTTTCTCTCCTCTTTCAAGTTAGCCACTACCGGTAGGCTATGAGCACATCAGAGGCAAAGGGGCAGAGCACAGAGAAAATGCCCCATTTCATAGCTGTGGAAACTGAGTCCCAGAGAAGGGAAGTGACAACCCAAGCAATAAAGGTAGGGAGGGGCTTAAACCAGGTTTATGTGTTCTCCATGACGGTACCAAATGCTTTCCTGGATCCACCTGTGGACCAGGTCTATAGAAGAGACTACCACAGACAAAGGTGGCGGAGAAGAGGTAGGGATGGGGAGGTGGGACCAGGAAATCACCCACTCACAGGCAGTCGTTGGCCTGGGGGATATAGTAGAAAGCAGGGACTCTGGCTTCGTACTTGGCCTTCACACGGAGGTTCCCGTTGTGGGTCATAAACTGCAAGACAACAGCAACTTGGGGTAATATTAGAACTCAAAAAAATGTGAAATGAAACCATGGTCTACCCAGAAAGCCATTGTTCTCACTGGCTCCCAGGCTGAGTCAGGAGACACTTCTACCGGAGTTTGACACGTCCCACTGGGCTTGGTCATCCACGCTGCTGGGAAGCCCCAGCCCGGAACAATGAGGAGCTATAACAACCATGCCTCATCCAGGCTGAGCACTTTACAGTTCTCACACATCAGCTCATTTGATCCCCTCAACCATTTTAATATTACCATCCCCATTTTAGAGATGAGGAAACTGAGGCTCAGAGAGGTTAGGTGACTTACCCAAGGTGACACAGCTAGTAAGTGGAGAGCTGGGATTTGAACTCAGACCTAACTCCAAAGCTCATGTTCTTTCTCCCACCCCCTCCATAGATGGCCAGGACCCCCAGCAGCAGTCTCTGCAAATCTGCAGGAGATGCATGTTGCCGGAGGATGGAAGAAGTCAGTACTGGCCTCACAGAGTGCATAGGTCATGATGATCACTGGGGCCCTTTGACACCCAAGAGACCCAGAGGCAGATGTGCCGAGAGCGGCCCTGCCAGCAGTCAGCACTCAGTGACAGCAGTGGCATATCTGGGGTGAGGGCACATGTGGGAAGAAACATCAGCTTTTTAATCCATGTCCCTTGGGCGGAGGGAACCCTATTCTCCCCTCCCCTCCCTGGGGTTGGGGGGAGCACTGGCCTGTGCCACGGGATTTGCATGGGCTTTGGATCCCAACAGAGCAGGGGTCACATCCCAGCTGTGCCATTTATTTACTGAGTGACTCTTGGGCAATACTTAACCCCCTGAGCTTCAGGAATCTCACCTGCAAAAACGAACAAAATATAAGAGGGGAGTTAAAAGGCACAAAGGAACAACCTTCAGGTTTACGTGTTGGTTTCCTGTCTTTCTCTTACACTAGAATGTAAGCTCCATGTGGGCAGAGACTTTACCTTGTTCACTGCTCTCTCCTAATACCCAGCACATAGTAGGTTTACAGTAACTATGTGTCAAAGGATAAGTAAAGCATCTAGCCCAGTGGTCTAGCACAGTGCCAGGCACAGAGTGGGCACTACTTCCTGCTTCCCCAACAGTCCTTCAAATCTTTGGTAACCAGCACAGTTCAGAACTGCCTGCTCTCTGAAGGTTTTCTGGCCAAAATGGTATCATCATCCAGGCTGCATGTGTCTTCCATCTCCATAGGTCAGGAGAGCAAAGTAGTCCCCTTCCTGGCTAGGGAGACTGGAGGAGGACTATAGACATGAATCAGGATGCTTCTGTTCCAGTCCAGGACTTCAGCTAATGAGAACAGCAGCTGTTAACTGACTACTTACTCTGTACCTGCACTGAGCCTCCATTTAACCCTTACAGCAGCCCTGTGAAGGGCCAGTGGTAGCCCCATAGTACAGATGTGGAAACTGAGGGCCCAGATCTAGGGCTAAACAACAAGCTCAGGGCCTCACAGCTTGTAAATAAGCAAGGGATGGAGCTAGGATTGGAACTCAGGGCCTCTGTCTAAGCCACAACTCTAGTAGGCTGTATTTTCTCTCACTAGTTATTGCCCCTCTCTGGGCCTCAGTTTCCCCCCACCCCGAAGAATGGGAACGCCCTGCCCACCGCCTCCTCCCAGCACCGCTATTTCAAGGCTCTCCACGTGCGCCCCTTGCTACCTCCACAATACTGTCGTCCCAGAAGTCAAGTCTCACGGATTTAACTTTGCTGATGTCTGGGAAGTTGCGGTGGACGCCGGAGCAGTTCAGACAGATGAAGATGCCCAGCTTATAAGAGGCCCAGTCGGGATCTGCGGGGCGAGAGGGCAGGAGGGGAGCCAGGTGGAGAGCAGGGCAAGGAAACCAGGGCTAGACTGGGAGCGCTGGGAGAGGCGAGCTTGGCAGTTAGGATTCCTGGGGCGGTGTCCAGTTCTGACCATGCCGCTTAACTCCTCTCTTCTGGTATCCCCATCTTGGGTGACCCAAGATACCAGCATGGAACCTTCTGGTCAGCCCACCGGCGCGCGGCGGCGGCCAGGATGATCTTGGAAGGAGCCCCGGGGACGGGGGCGAGAGGATGAGGTGGGCGCCACGTGGAAGTGACAGGACTCTGGGGAACCGAGAGGAGGGCGCTGAGGGAGGGCCCGGCTCCGAGGCGCCTGGCTGGGGAGCTGCAGGTGGGGAAGTCTGCGTCAGGGCCCCTCGGCGCCCGCAGGGTCGGAGCGCTGTGGGGCAGGGACGCGGGAGGACCCGGGGACGGGGGAGGGGGCACCAGATGGTCAGGGGACCCGGGCCCGAGGTCCGGGATATTTGGGTCCGACGGTGGGGGAAGTGGCTAGGTCCGCAGTGAAGACGTCAGGGACCGATGTCTGGGTGGGTAGGGTGTCTGGGGGCGGAGGTGAGCAGGATGGCCAGGGCACCCGGGTCCGGGATCTAGTGTCGGGGTCCAGGGTGGGGAGGTCAGGGGTCCTGAATTCAGGCGGGCGCGGTATCGGATGAGGAGAGGACGGTCGGGGGCCCGGGGCGGAGATTCACGGTCTGGATGGGCGGGGACCTGGGTCCGAAGGTGTCCTAAGGGTCACGCCCAGGTCCGGCGGGGCCCGGGACGGGAGCGGGTCTGGAAGCAGGGGAGGGGTCTGCGGGCCGG